GAAGTGGCTTTAGCTTCTTAGTGCTGTGCTTTAACCTGCTGTGCCATCAGGGAGGGTCGTTAAATCTACAACTTTTAGCAGGCTGAGTATGATAATTTTTTTGAAGCTATGACACTACTCATTCTACTGGCAACTGAGTAAAAATGTGCATGTTGTGTAATATCAGTATTACACAATAAATACTATGCAATTAATAAAAATTATGATGGAGATCTGTATTTATCATGGAAAGTATTAAAACATCTATCAATGATATTGCATAATGAAAAGCAAGTTCAAAACAGATGTACAATTTAAACACATTTTGAAAAAAAAAGTGTTTGCATATGCAGAAATAGTGAAAATATATATGAAAATGTTTTTTAAATCAAAATACTCTAAAATTTTGTATTGCAATACTAATAATAGGTTGAAGGCACATTAGATGCTTAATATGTACTAAATACTGGGCTAAATTGCATGTATGTAAATATTATCTTGTTAGGATTTCAAATCCATGTTTCAAAGGCTTGTTTTGGACTTGTGATTGGAACTTGTTTGGATGAAATTATTTTAAACTTGGGTTTTAGGATTTTCTTATGATATGAACATATGTGGATGATGTCAGTAAAACTGTTGTGCTGAGTTTATGAATAAGAAGATACAGAGAACTCTTAAACATCATTGATATTATGTTAACAGTGGGGACAAACAAATAATGGATTTTAAACTTTAAATAGCAAAAGTTTGTGAGTTCTCTCTGGGCAAGTCTTTGTTGATTTAATTGCTTTCCAAAGATCTTGGGGCATTAACTTTCTAAGGCAAGGCTGTGCTTTGCCAGCAGTAAGCAGCAGCCAGCCCCAAGGAGATTTTCTAGCCTGCAACACCAATAGCCTTCAGCTAGCATCATGCCTAAGCATCAAGATTTACACTTTGCAATTACAACTGAATGTCAGCTCTTGTTATCTAATCCCACTACATTTGGACTTTATTTCTTTTATCTCTTCCTATGCCTGGATCAATAGCAGCACCTATCATTTTTTGGGGGTATGTTTTATCTGTATGGGCTTATTAAGAGACATCCTATACAGGGGTAGCTTGGAGAGGCTGCAGGTTTGGTTGCAGACCACCGGAAAAAAAGGAAATATCACAATAGGAGGTAACAGGAATGTTTTGTTACACAGTGTTTATAAAAGCTATGTTTATACAAACTATGCAATAGCATTGTATCTTAAAATATAACTGTACATATCTTAATTTAAAAATACTTTATTGCTAAAAAAACAAACATGAAGTAAGTAAGGACATGCTGCTGTAAAAATAGATTTGCTCAGCACAGGGTTGCCACAATTGTTACATTCAATAACACACACAGCTCACTGTGCCTGATAGGCGGGTTTGAGGACACAAACTGCATGCACGCACATGCGCACACACAGGTTATGTTTGTATGCTATTGTCGTATGTGATTATAATAAATTATATATTCCAAAGTGAATTCGTAAAATAAACTGTTGGCAAACATAATCTCAATCTCTGAGGATAATTTACTGCACAAAACGTATCATTTAAACCTCTCAATAACCAGTTTGCAAAAGGTCTTGTTGATGACAGGGCAACCAGACAAGCATCAGATCCAGAAATGATCATGCTCTTTGGGGCTGGATCATTCTGGATCTCACGTGAAAAAGATCATTTATTTTATACCCAGAAATGGCCGTAAAACTAATTTTTTTAAAAAAA